ATTTGACTTATGTTAAGAAAGGTAGAGGTAGACCTATAAAAACTTGGTTATAAAATATTAAAAATGATCTTGTTTATTAGATTTAAACAAGAATTTGACTTTTAACAAGACACAATAGAGAAAAAGGATTCATGTAGCCGACCCAACATAGTGGGACTAAGGCTTGATGTTGTTGTTGTTGTTGTTGTTGTTGTTATTGTTGGGTCATATTGTTAATTATTTCATGGGTTTTCAATTATCATATTGAATTTTGGAAACTTTGTTTAATTAAGATCTAGATTCATGGTGTCTCTTGAACATTGAAAAACTTAACGCAAACCAAGTAATTCCAATGGGGAGATGTTGTAACTAAGAGTTAAAAAAGAATTCAATTTTCTACCTGAGAAATTAAATACTTTTTGTATAATTTAGTGCCGATATAAGTTTTTCATGCCATAAGATAAACTAACAAGATTTTAAAAAACAAAAGAATTAGCATTTTAATGAATTGGCCCTTTAAAATTAAAATGACTAAGGTTTGATGTTGTTGTTGTTGTTGTTGTTGTTGTTGTTATTGTTGGGTCATATTGTTAATTATTTCATGGGTTTTCAATTATCATATTGAATTTTGGAAACTTTGTTTAATTAAGATCTAGATTCATGGTGTCTCTTGAACATTGAAAAACTTAACGCAAACCAAGTAATTCCAATGGGGAGATGTTGTAACTAAGAGTTAAAAAAGAATTCAATTTTCTACCTGAGAAATTAAATACTTTTTGTATAATTTAGTGCCCATATATGTTTTTCATGCCATAAGATAAACTAACAAGATTTTAAAAAACAAAAGAATTAGCATTTTAATGAATTGGCCCTTTAAAATTAAAATGACTAAGGTTAAGGACCGTATAATATATTTAAAATTAGATCATAAGCTTCAATCTACATGCATTTAGTGCATGTGCATATTTTCTCTGGTATAGGGGCAAAAACATATTCAAACGAAAAACAAAAAAGAAGCAAATTTTCAAGGTCAATCATCTATGCCTGGGAATCTAAATAATATAGACTTAAATGTTCAAGCATATCAGCATATTCCAGTAAATAAGTAGAAATTTCCCATGGTTTTTCCAAATAGAAGAACGAAGGTTGAAAATTCCATAAGGTTGAGGGTATGGGGTTAACGCATTCATTTGCTAAAGTAGCCAGTATTATATGACAAAAACAATGTTATAAAAGTTATCATGCACATAATATAAACCTACGAATAATATATAACCCTCTACTTTTCACATCTCATTACCGATACAGGAATGAATATGAGAAAACCAAATCAAATATTTTTTTCTTATTTCAAAGCTACCCCTTTATGTTCTGCTATATGTTCAGAGAAGTTAAGCAGCATGGTTCATGTTCAAGGGATCAACATTCATTTACTTTCAAAGCAGAAAGCCTACCTCTATTGTTTTCCCATTAGAAGCTGTAACTATATCACCTGGTCTCATGCCAGTGCCACTAATCATATTTTCACAAGCAGCAACAATGAAATGAACCTGGAAAAAGAGCATTACTTGACCAATGAGAACAATGTGTTGTCAAAGAAAAAAATTATAAAATGCAAGAACATCCATGCATGCTAGTTTTTACAAACAAAAACATGGAAAATTTTACCTCCACTCCCGGGGGTTTAATTTGACCTATGGCTTTTGCTGCACCAAAGGTTGCAGCAGATCCACCCATATCAAACTTCATTAGTTCTATGGAAGATCCTGGTCCTGCCTTAATGTTATAGCCACCACTGCAAAAAGAAGGAAATGCATATTTATAAGGCTCTTACTTTTAAAATGATATCGCTTCAGAAAACAACTTGAGTACAGTTGACGAAAGAAAACAAATAAAAAAAATCCTAGATTAAGCTATCAAATTCAAAGAGAAGACATCATATTTAAAATTAGGATGGGACTAATGCAGCTATAAAACAATCAACCGCTCAGTCATGAAAACAACTATTTGTTGAAGGCTAATGAACATGAGTTATAAGAGAATGAAAACTGGTGACAGAACAGAAGAAATTAAAAAAAATGGCATCATTTATTTCCGAACTATCCTTTTCATTTATGCTCCCTTCTAATGTTCTTAGAAATATCTGAGCTTTCTCAATAAGATATGTACATACCTATCAAATGTTAATCCCTTGCCAACTATTGCTAACTTGATCTTCACATTACCATCAGGCGGTTTATAGCACAGATGAATAAAATGTGGTGGGTTTGATGATGCAGCAGCAACTGCCAAGTATGAACCCATCTTCATCTCTTTACACTGCTCCGCATCAAATATCTTTGCAGTAAAAACATCACCGTATGATAAGGCAATTTTTGAAGCTTCTTCTGCTAGTACACCTGACAAAATCGAACACAATTGATTTCACCCATCCATTTACAAGGAATAGATTGTAGAAGTGTTGAGCAAGAGAAAATTGATCCAACTTCTAAGAACACTTCTGTTTTAAATAGAATATAAACGAGCTAAAAAAATGAATCTTGTCTCCCATTTACCAGGAGTAAGTACATTGGCTGGAGCATTAACAAGCTCTTTCCCAAAAATTACTCCAGAGCAAATATTGTTAGCATACTTGAGTTTCTCGTCTATTTCAGCTCCAGAACCCAAACCAATAATATCCACAGATTTGAGCAAAGCTTTTTTAGATTCAGACTTGAATCTGTTGTCTTCGTACAAACCCAAAACAGTTCCTGCAAAATTCCCAAAGAAGCATCAGACTGACAATTTAATTCAAATAAATTGCCAAAGAATAATAACAAAATTAAAAACTAATAAGAAATAAACCTGAAGCAATTGCTGAAGCAGCATACACTTTGAAGTCTTCTGAGGGTTTAGATGCCAGCACAATGGCAGCATTTGATGCCTGGGCAGCCTTTGCAACTGCTGCAACAGTCTCACCAATGCTTTTATATGCAGTTGTTGCTGAGGAAGGAGAATATGGCCCAAACCCCACCAAACTCAACCTCTTAAACCCTAAACCATGTAATCTGAGAACAGTTGACTGCCCTGACTTTCCTTTGAAATCCTCCTCAGTGGAAGACTCTGATAGAAGGCCACCCAGTTTGTCATCTAACATTTTTAAAATAAGGTTCTCAAATTTGGAATCTGAACCCTTGGACATATCTTTCTCTGAGACAGCAACTGCAAGCACATCTCCCTTCCATTCAGCGATATCAATGTCCTTTGCAGAGAATGTGATCTGAAAACAAATGCATATGAAAATATATCTTATTTTGGACAAGATTCAGTCATTGTGCAAGTTGCTAGCAAATAACCAGTAACATTCCCAATGAATACTATACATATCCCCAAAAAAATCAGCTAAACAAATTCACAGAACCTAACAACATGGTTGAATATTAGACAATATCAGCAAGTTTACGCAGGACCAAGCTGCTACATATGAATTTGCACGCTAATTCTAGACCTAATTTCCAGATAAAATATCAATGCAATAAATTGCTCAATTAGGGTTCCTATTCTATCTTAGTGGATGTTATGTTGAAAACTACTTGCTAGTCTTAGAAAATCAAATCCTACCTTAGTGCAATAAATTTAAAGACATTAAATCTGCTATAAAAATGAGGATATAGATAAAGTTCTAAATTTATAGTTAAAGTTGTGTTATAAAATGGATAAGTGCCTGCGTCTAATCTGATAAGAAAAATATTATGGAGATTTAAAAAGATAATTAATTTAACTGCAAATAAAATGATAGGGATCCAGTTTGAGTAGGAAAGAAGTCACTAATAACCAATACAAATTGTTCTATAAATAAGAATATTAAGTTAAATATGCACTAAAACAAGGAGAGATGGAGACTATAATGCATAGACACAGACACGGCGACACGGATACGACACGATAAAGATACGGTACATGTTAATTATTGAAAATATAGGACACGGACATAGGTTGGATACGGTATTATAATTTTTATATTTTAAAAATAGTGCATAGAAATTGAATTAGTATAATATTAAAAATAATTTAGAAATAATAAGTTATTTAACTAGAATTTGTGCTTAAAATGATTAATATTAGGATGTCAAGAGTCAGGCGTCAATGCCATGTATCAAGCATTGAAAGAGGAGACGATAATGTTGTCAAGAGTCGAACATCGATGTTATGCAGTAAGCATCGGGCGTCGATGTCAGAAGGGAGTTTGTCGTCAATGTTGAGAGGGCGTTGGTTTTCAATGTTAAGATAACGTCGGATAAAGATGAACTGTCAAGTTCTGGGTGTTGAAACTTCTAGTGTCAAGCATCAATGTCAAGACAGTGTCAAATTTTATGTTGAGATGGTTTTAAAATATTGATATTGTAACGACATCAAACATCAATGTCATTAGGCATTGTTCTCAAACCAAAGTCGCAACCCGCCAAAGATAAATGAAAATGAAAATATTTTATGAATGGGGTATTAAGTGCGAGCGATTGATTTGGTGTTGTGGATAGGAAATAAGAAATTTAGTTTTTATATATTAGATAAATTAAAATTTTAAATACAAGAAATTCTATTTTTAAAAATTCATAAAATATTTAAGATACGTGTATCTAATTTGTATTTAATATTTTTTTAATCGGACATGTTTTCGGCGTATCCGACATGTGACGGAGGCATGTCGGATGTGTGCCGTGTCGGATACGTGTCGTATAATACACGCCTCTTTGAGGAGAAGTGTCGGTGTATCATAAGATAGAGAGGAAAATAATTATATTAAAAAAAGTTTGTGTTAGCATATACTGAAAATAATATAGAGAAAAATAAACTTAAGAAGATTTGAGCGTCGATAACACTAGGCAAAAAAAATAAGAGGTAAATAGAATTAATAAAAGATATAGAAGGCAAAGACCAAAGGACAATATAGTTGATTCTTAGTTCTGACTGACCATAGTCTAATGGCAAAGCCCAAAGGGCAATATAGTTGATTCTTAGTTTCAATTGACCATAGTCTAATGGCAAAGCCCATGTGGCACTATGGTTCAACCTTTTATGCAAGTCAACCGAAATTATGAGCCAAGTCAAAGTGCTAAAGCCCAATACTTTTTAGGTCTACCTCTACCTTTCTTAATGCAGGTTAAATCTAAAACATCTACTCTCCTAACCAGATCATTAGAAGGTTGTTGTTTTATGTAACCAAATCATCTAAGGCAAGTTCTCTTTAATCTTATCTACCACTGGAGCTACTCCAACCTTTTCACGTATATGCTCATTTTGTATCCTGACTCTAAGAGTAAAGTCACTCATCTACCTGAGCATCCTCATGTCTACAACACTTAACTTAATATTATACTTCTCTTTTAATGGCCAACATTATGCGCCATAAAACATTACAAGTCTAACCACCATCTTATAGAATTTTCCCTTAAGTTTGAGTGGCATTTTTCTATCACACAACAAGCCCGATGCATTCTCCACTTTATCCATTCAACTTGAATTCTACTAATAATAACCCCATCTAATTCAACATCACTCTAAACAATAGACCCAAGATATATAAAATGTGTACTCTTATTGATGACTTGATCGCTCAAAATCACAAACACCCCACTAAAACTATTACTACTAAAATTACACTCCATGTATTCAATTTTAGATCTACTCAAACAAAAAACCTTTAGACTCTAAGGTTAACCTCCATAATTCAAGTTTACCTTCAACCCCCTCTTTATTCTTATCAACAAGAAGAATATCGTCAGCAAGAAGCATACAATTGGAAACTTCCTCTTGTAAATCTCTAGTAAGAACATCCATGACTAAAGTAAAAAGATATGGGCTTAAGGCAGATCCTTAATGTAATCCAACGGAAATTGAAAAATACTAAGTTAAACCATATTGTGCTTGAACACAAGTAATAGCTCCAGAATGTATATCCCTAATGACTTGAAAATAAGCATTATTAATCCCTTTCATTTTTAGAACTCTCCATAGCACTTCTCTTAAAACTTTATCATATGTTTTCTCAAGATCAATAAATATCATATGAAGATCAATAAATATCATATGAAGATCTTCCTTTTTCTCTCTATACTTCTCCATCAAACCTCTCAATAAATGTATGGCTTCCATAGTAGACCTACCCAGCATGAATCCAAATTGATTTTGAGAAACATTAGTATCATGTCGTAACCTATACTCCATAACTCTTTCCCATAGTTTTAAAGTATGATACATCAACTTAATTCCTTTATAATTTGCACAATCTTGTGCATCACTTTTATTTTTAAAGATAGGAATCAACACACTCATTCTCCACACATCTGACATCTTTTAGTCTTCAAAATAATATTAAAAAGTTTAGTAAGCCAAGAAATTTCTTATCTCCTAAGCATTTTTCACACATCTATTGGAATATCATCATGTCCAAAAGTTTTCCCACGCTTCATTTTCTTTAAAGCCTCTCTAACTTTAGTTTTATTAATACGCCGATAAAAATAAAAGTCTCTATTTTCATTTAGAGTGTTAAGGTCACTAAAGTCAATCTTATTTTTATAATCTACATTGAAAAGCTTAGCAAAATATCTCATCTATCTTTGTTGAATATCGTCTTTTTAAAAAAGTAATTTTTTATCTTCATCCTTAATGCACTTTATTTGAACTAAATTCCTTACTACTCCCATCTCTTTGTTTAGCTAGCTTATATATAACTATCAAAGATATTTTTGTTAGAATTCTTTAAATACCATAATTTAATCTTAGAATAAGGATATATTATATTTTTCATACTCTGTCCCTTCATCTTAAAGTCCAAAATTAATAAGCGGTGTTGGATACATAAACTTTCAATCGGAATAACTTCAAAATCTCTGCAATCTAAATAATCTATTTTTATTATAAAAAATAATTAATCTGAGTTTTATTATATTAATTTTTATAAGTGATGAGATGCTCATCTCTTTTCTTAAATAAAATTTTAGCAATAACAAAATCATAAGCTAGAGAAAAACCTAAATTAGTCTTATCAACTTCATTAGTTGTTCCAAACATATAGCCACTATGAATACTTTTAAAATCATCTACCTCTCTATCAACATGTCAATTTAAATCTCCTCCAATAAAAACTCTTTCTTCAAGAGGAATCTTTTATATTAATTTTTAAGTTATTTCAAAATTTTAATTTTGATCATATATACAAACCTACTTAAGGAGCATAAGCACTTATAATATTAATAATCTTATCATCAACAATAATCTTCAAAACTATAATTTTATCTCAAATTATATCAATTTTTACAACGTTATCTTTCATCATTTCTAGCACGACTCCTACCAGAATACCAAAGTTTAAACACTAAACTATCAATCACATTAATCTTATCTCCCACCCATTTAATTTTGTGAATGCATAGAACATTTATCTTCCTATGAATTATTATATCAATATATTTTATTAATTTTCCTGTAAGGGAATCTATATTCCACGATCCTAACCAAATTTTAGTTTAATGGACTAGCGTATTTGCCCACATTCGTCCATGATGTGATAACCCTTACCTATGTAGCACTGCATCCGGGCGCTGATACAGAGACCCTTGCACAGTTATCACTGTATTCAGGCCATAAAGTGCATCGCTTCCAGGGAACACCCCATCATTAACACAATATATTAAATGATTCATGTCATGATTATTCGATAAGTTTTATGCTGGTTGCCTACTACCTAACGCAACCCTCCACTTTTCTCATCCAGGACTTCGAACCTAACAATGGCAGTGTTTAAATATTCCATGCAAGTCATTTGGAATTTTGAACTAAGTTGAATGGCAAAGCCCGAATGTAAACACAACTTGTTGAATGAAGCTACTATTTACAAAAAAGAAACATTCTTTTCTTATGTGGAGTCATGTAGGCCTGCAATCCATCATCCTATCTTGGCTGGTGAGCTGGAGGATCCTCCTAAATGGTGGAATTCCTTGATGGCTATAGCTGGCGTGTTCCCTATAAAGCAAGACAATTTCTGTATTGAAGGACGGCACCAGTAGGCGTCCTTTGTTAGATGAGTCCCTTGACCATATGCTGAATAGAAACAGCATGATACACCATGTAGAACAAGCACGCAATTTGTTGATTATGAAGTTTTCACCTCAACAGACCTGAGACTTACACCTCACCTCATGTATAAAAATACCTAAATATCTAATTACTTAATTTTAAACCTTCTGATAAACTACCATCTGAAATATAAAGCTGCTCAAACTATGTGGCATCTATGTCCTCAACAATAGGTAGGGAAAGTGGGGCAAACTCATGTATAGGATCTATACATATATTCTTTAATGCAAAAGGTCTATTGCTTCATACGAATCTAATCTCAGGAAACCACAAGTCTCCGGTTATTGAAATCAAACAATCCGTGCACTGAACCCAAGCTAACATATGGAGGAACCATTCGAAACAAAAAATATTAAATAGGAAAATGAAGAAGAATAAGAAAGAAAACCAGAGGAAAATTGACGACGGCTGGCTTGGTAAGGCCTAGGGTGGCATGGGTTGTGAGAGAGCGAGCCATGGAGTACCGGCGACAGAAACGCCGAGTCAAGGGTAGAAGAGGGCGATGGAGCTGCCGAGCTAAGAGGAAAGTAGAGTCGATGGGAGTGGAGCACCAGAGCCGTGAAGCAAACAATGCAGCGGCGACCGTGGCTGCGGTGGCCATTTTTGGGTGAGTGTAGCTATTTAAACACTATAAGATTAGAAGTTTTCAGTTTTCCAATATTATGGCCATTTGGGTGCTTCGCTATTTTGTCTTTTCATTAATTTGATTTTTTTGTACTTGGCCTTTTTTATGTATTTTTTAAGTATATTCATTAAAAATTAAGCAGGATGTCACAATTAAATAGGTTAATTTAAAAAAATTTCGTATGAAAAAAATTAAAAAATATAAAAGAAATCTCATGCTTCAATTTGGTTTTAGATTAATTAAATTGAGCCAGGTATGAATTATTGTGAATCATATCATTTTGCATTAAATTTATATTTAAATTCTTGTAATATTGAATTTGAGTGAAAAGTATATATAATATTATTTTGATTTCAATAAATTTATAATTAAATTATCTTAACAAAACGAATTCATCAATATTAAAAGTTCTATCTAAGCAAAGAGTCATGCTAGAGATAGAAATTCACGTGACATGTATATGACAGGCTGTAAATAATATATAATATAGTGTACTTTCTTTTTTTAGATGTAGCATTTTTTGTAGCCCTCTAAGCCTTGTAAATAAATAGTGAATAGGCTTGAATTTGCCAAAATCCATGTCAACTCCGAAGGATATAACAATTTGATTGAAATGCCTCAAACAACATCCCCCTTGAGTTCAATGTAAGGCACAATCTGCATCAAAATCGAGAGCACAATAGGAGTCTCCCAAGAAATCATATGAAGAATTAAAGGCTACATATGTCAATTAATCTATGTCATCTCAACCAACAAAGAGCGTCCTTGTTGGCGAGGCCGCTCATAATTATTGGGTAGCCCAATCCATGGGTGGAGAAAATATTATGAGCCACTTGCACATGTCACAAAGAACGCATGCTTCCTACCCATCAAAATCCCACTATTTATATCTTACACATATACATGGCCAAGCCTATTAGCGTTATACGAACAAAGAGTTTTTCAAGCATCCAATGCCCATAAAGGCAAGTTTCCATGCAAAGGATATGTCAAAGTATTATGCCTTCCATAAAGATCACAAACACATTACTAAGAAGTGAAGGCACCTTTATAGACCGATTTAACTTCTCAATAAGGTGAAGGAAGCTAAAGAAATTCATCATCATCAATATGATGGTATGCACCTAGGGAAAACTCCCATAGAAGACCAACGAAAAGAGCATATTCGTGCTTGTACCATTCACACATCAACGGGTGGTACATGTCATCCTAGAGGGAGACATGTCATCCATAGAGACCAATCTTAAGAAATTTCATGTCAGAGAGTTCAAATTAATCACCACCTCATTGGTGCCAGTAGTTGACATCGCCTTGATCACTTTTCACAAAACAAATAGACTGGTGAGTGGGAATTCCTTCAATAAGTCCAAAATGGTCACAGTGATGGTCACCAAATGCCTAATTGATAGCATCCTCATTTATACATGAAGTTTCATTAACAGAATTTTTAATATATTTTTGATAAAATGAATTTTATTGCCACATAATTCAACCCTACCTCAAGTCTTCTCTATGGCATCTATAGCAAAAGATGAGAAACTGAAAGAGTGATCACCATGTTACTCAACTAGAATGAGGGTGTGTAGCACTAGTTCATCACAATGGCTAACTTTATTATCACAATTACATCAAAAACTTACAATGCAATTTTTAGGTGACCTCTCATGAGCATGTTTAAGGCTATTTTTATAACTTATCATGTGGTGGTGAAGTTCAAAGTAAGAGGTTAGGAGATCATGGTGAAGGGTGACCATAATCAATCATGTGCTTGCTACCTAGGATGTAGGGCACATTTAAACTCCCCTAAAAGACCTACTACAATAAGAGGTGGAATGAGGACTAGATTTGGAGATCACTGGTGCAATGGAGGAGGTCTAAGCAATATATGGAATCTTGTAGAGGAACATTAAATTAATCTTGTCATTTAGCTTAGCACATGGAGGTGGGCTAGTCCATGCCATAAAAGACAACCTTGATATTTTTATATGGACGATAAATAGTTGTGATGCCAGCAAAATATATTAAAGTTACTAACCATCAATTGAATGTATAAAAAGAAGCTCATCCCATCAAGCAAAAAAGAAGGAAGATCACAGTTATTCTAGTTGAGCTAATAAAGTAAGAAGTTAGCAAGCTACTTGATGTTGACCATATCAAGTACAATACCCTTACTAGATCTTAAATGTGGTTATAATCTAAAAGGTGAGTGAAAATAGAGTATGTGCATCAAATCCAAAAACTAAAACTCGATATGCACTAAGAACAGTCACATCCTTCCCAAGATCGACTCACTAGTCGACTCGTTAGTTAGTTTTCTAGTAATGAGTTTCCTTGATGTTTTCTTTAACTACCAGTAGATCAAAATGCACACGAGTTGTCATACCCAAAAATTTAATGAAAGGATTAAATCCTAAACCTAATTATCTCAACCACAATATAAAAAATACCAGAGCTAACTAAATGAATAAAAAAAACATAGCTAACTAAATAATCTAAATAACATAAATGATCACGAAAATTCTATTTTGAAAAAAATTATACACGAATAATCCAATCCAAGTTTACAATACAGAAGATTTAAATATTAATTATAAAATTAAGAGAAATTAACCTTATTTTTAGAAGTATAAACAAGGGGTTTCTAATATCAATATCATCCAAATAACCCATCAATATATTTTACACTTGAGCATGTATCAATATTAGCTTTCCAAAACTTATCACTTGAACTTGAATATTATGTATACTGACATGTACTTTCACTTGGGTGCTATAGTGCATTTATTAACAGAGCATCACTTACACTTTTATATAAGTATTATAGAGTACTTATATAAAAATATTAGATTGTACTTATCAATAGAACATTCTTTATATTTATACTTAATTCATTTAATAGAATATGCAGCACATGAATCATGATATATAAGTATCGATGCCTACTTATAACTTCACTTCCACTTATGCCACCTAAGGTTCATGTATGTAGCTTTAAACTGCATGACAATTATACAAAAGTAGATAATGATCAGGAGTAAATGGGTAATATTGATGTAGTTACCTACCTTAGGGATCACAATGTGCTAAAGAACGTGTTGGATAACATGTGCATTCAACACCAAGTTACTAATAAGTTGTTGGTGTTGGTTTAAAGGGGAATTTTTAAGGGTAGTGTTTATGACAATCCAATTGTAATTTATGGATTATACAGTGTCATGAGAATCAACATTGGTGATGATAACTTGATGATGACAAATAAAAGATTACATGGAGGTGAGGTCAGCGTTAGTCCTAAAGTTTGTGAAAAATTTTAAGAGCGCTTCAGTGTGATAGGGACATGCAAGATAGGTAAGGAACTAGAGGGAAGTGGCAGCAAACAAGTTTAATATCTAGTAAGAGAGGTTTTCTTGGTCCACAACTTTAGAATCAATAATGGAGATATTGATAAATTTCATAAGCTGTCTGATTCTCCATGCATTAGAACCTATCATCAATCATTGGCCTTGGAGCACCCAATTGACCTTGCGGTGAGCCATTGAAGGAAGAGGGATAGTGCACAGTTGGTATTTGAGGATTAGAAGGTTTAGAGGTGTGGAGTGTAAATGAATGCAAACCTTCATTTATAGCCTCGATTCCTTCATACAATACAATCGGGAGATAATACTATCTAATCAAGTATTCAAAACCACCCCATCGGGATTGTAGTCAATGGTCAAATTTTATAGAATGATAAGGTTGAAAGTTTAATGTAGGATGTTAATCCTAAGTAAACTATCCCTAAGCACACCAAGAGGGGCTAGTGAATTAGTATTTTTAAAAATTTACCAGAAAAAAACACAAAATTATATTTTTTTATTTTTTAATAATTAAAAAGCAAGCAATACTATCACCTGATGCGGAAGCTAGTAAATTTATCAAAAGTTATAATAATGGTGATGATGATGTAATCAGCATAAAGTAATGTTAATCATAGATTTTCAACAAGCAATTTTTAAGAAAATAAATAGCATAAAAGTAAAGTGTAAAAATTGAAAATTAGAATCTGCACACTAGAATTTTATAATGGTTTGGTCAAATAATGACCAACATCCACTCCCTAGAGTCCTCCTCTATGAGTATTAGACTAAACCATTAGTGACTCTCATTTTGCCCCTATAGCCATCGCTGAGAAGTCCTTACAATCTTTTCACCAACACAATGCGGTAGAAAACCTTAACCTCCTTTTCACCCTTATGGTGAAGGCGAAGAACCTTGACCTTCTTTTTCACCTCCTAGTGAATGAAGAGAATCTTGACCTCATTTTTCACTCTCCTAGTGAAGGCAGAGAACCTCAATGGTCTTTGAGATGATGATCTTCTTCCCAGAGCAACCCAGGAAACCATGTATGACACTCAAAGGACAAAACGAAGAAGCTATCCCATAGCAACCATATGAAAACCCCTCATACTCCTTATCCCTCACACTCAACCTCTCATTTCTCCTTCCCAAAGCTCTCCAAGATCTCTTCTCCAAGCTCTCTCTCCATGTTAGGTAGTTTGAGTTGCCTTATGTATAAATAGAAATGTGTGCTAGTTTATTTTAATATCTAGTTATGTTATTAATTATGTATATTATTTTATTTTGGTAATTATTATTGCTATTGCATAATGAAAATTTTCATTTAAGTAAAATTCCCTACATTACTTTATTGTTGAAATTATCCTCTCCATAGTGCTTGCACTTTAATAACAAAATTAGCAAAATTAAAAATTATTTAAATTAAGAATAATACAAACCCCAAAGTATTAGGAAATGGTTTAGATATAGAGAGAGAGGACGGGAAGGAATATAGAGAATAATACAAACCCTAATGCCTTCCCTCCAACAAAGGGCATCATTTTTAATCGACTGCAAATAATAGTTGATTCATTCAAACTTGGTTAAGCCCCGTAGTTTTCCCCCTTTTCAAGGGTTTCCACGTAAAAACTTTGGTCTCTCTTATGAATGTTATGCTCTCTCTGCTTTTATCTACTTCTGTGTTGGATATTC